GTTGTAATTATTTGTGTTACGATGGTTTGCAAATGCCAACTGAGATTGGGATTATGTTTTATATGGGGCTGAGCATACCCAACTCCGTAATATAAAGATGTTCATTAAGTCATCAGAGAAGGTAAAGAGTGGAGGGTGGAACTGTAAAGGACTTGCAGAGTCCTCTCAGTGGAGACTGGAACAGAACTGGTCTTTGAATTCAGACTAATTGAATCCTTGTATAAATTCTTTAATTACTTCAGTGTGCACACACAAAAAAGTACCAACCTGATAATATAGAATAGGAAGCAAGTCTTACCAGTTTTATGAATCATTCTACATGCTCTTTGATAGGAGGAAGTAATGGAACTGAGCTGTGGCTGCTGCAGCATAAAACATAGTGTAAAGGAAAATCAGTACAACAGAAATCTGCTTCTGCACATTTTCTCCTTGGATCTCATTGTCTCCTCCTTTTACACATAGAAAAATCTGTCAAGCCCTGACGGTCCAGCTTGCTGTTCAGTAAAATATGTCATCAAAAAGACACGCTAAAAAAGACTTTAGTGTGGCAGGAAACAAAAATAAGAAAACAAAGAGCAAGGCAGAGGGCTCTTCCATGAATAACTAAAATAATAACTGTAAAAGGAATTTTAAAAGCCAAAAACTTACAGAAGAACTCAAAGTGATTCCACTTTAAAGCTTTTGAAAATGGCCCATGGCCAGAGGCAAATGAGTTCATTTAACATATGACTTATCCCTTTCTTTTTCTTTGAATGGCATAGAGCTTCAAATTATCTTTCAGCTTGATTACATTCCTGGTTTATTTCTTCCTATTGAAAAGTTGTTATCCCACATCTTCAGCTCACTTGATTTAGAAAAGGTCTGTAATAGAGATGACATCAAGCGAAGAAGTAGTGAAATGTTATAGCTGGCTCATTAACAAAATCCTTTTGGTATGTTTTTAGCATAGCAGCTGCCTAGGTATCAGTAATGATTAATGCATTTAATAATAAGTCTGTGGACAGAGTATGCCACGGCTGATGACCTGTTAGCATGTGTTGAAGTTTTACCGTTCGAACCCTGTGTTTTCTTACTTCTGTTTGCAGATGAGGTCCATTGCCTTTTTGTGGCAATTGGGTGGAATATGCTACTGGGTGTTGCGTTTTATGCACAGTTTGTTTATACCAGGCATCTGGGAGGAAATTGATAAGAAGCCTGCAGACAGCAAGACTTGGTTGATCTTGCTACTAAGATAGATTGCAAACCCTTTGGAGCAGGACGACTTTCTCTAGCTTGGTGGGGTGGTGCTCCCAGCCCAGGTTTCTGCAGCACTGCTTCTACTCAAATAGTATCCACAAGATCAGGGGCACTTGTCCTTAATACTGTGGCCACAAATGACCTCATGGAAGAGAGCTTAAATAACGAGTTACGGTGGTTCAATGTATCTTTTCCCTTGTATTTCTTAGGCATCTGTAGTAGAAATGGGGGAAAATAAATGTGGCAGAGAGGGGGATGGCCAGATTGAAAGAGGATGGGTTATGGATCTTCTCTTGCGCTATGTCAGCTACTGTAGCAAAATTAATTCATAGGAGGAAGAACCCATAGTAAAGTGGACTAGATGACCTCTAGGGGTCCCTTCCAACCCAAAACATTCTATGATTCTATATCAGATTGTTTTCCGCATAATAAAACATTCTATGATTCTATGATTCTATATCAGATTGTTTTCCTCATAATTATGCAACTGGTAATGATTCTTTAATCAGGGCTGGTATGAAAGTCAAAGTCAACTCTACAGTTGCAGTCTTTTTGTGGTGGGGATTGTGTCTGATCAACATTTGCATAATATCTATTTCAGTGAAACATTCTTGGTGCTATTATGATCTATTAGCTGGACCATGCTGTTACTTAAGAGAGGAATGTCCTATTGAAAATCCATGGACGCAACTGTTGATGACATAAGAAGGAGTCACAGAGTACCCACTGGAGTCACTTCTGTAACTATACAGAGTAGGTTACGTGCAGTCTTATCCAGATGGGCTGTGCATTGACTGAGTTCAAAATTGCTGAGTTACCAAAGCCGTAATTAAGGAACATTTATTGAATTGGAGTATATTTGACATACACAAAACAAGTTTGAAGGCAGGCATATGCTAAACCAAAACAAAGCCAACCCCCAGAAAAGGTATTATTTACTAAAGTGCCTCTATGGATGGAAAAAAGCAGAAGTAAAATGCAAGAATATGTCAAAGTTGTATTAGAGGTTATGAAATAATGGGTATGAAGTGATACCAGTGATTTCCTGAGTGGGCTGTTGATAATGTTGGACATAATCTTTGCAGAAGTGAAAAGAGAGAGGATGGTGAGGTGTGGAGACCTGGTCCAGAAGCCGAGTACTTACTACACTGAGAAATGGAGGGGTCTTTCTACATGCACATGCTCAGTTCCTTTTACCTTTTCACTGGCATGGTAGATAGTGACCTAAGGAAAGGAGACGTCCCACTTGGTCATGATGTCCCACCCTTCCACTTCGTAGTTGCTGCTGTGTGCCAGCTTCACTGAAACCTCTGCTCAGCTGAGATACACATCTTTAACCTCTCTGAAAGTCAGGTTACAGGAAACTCAGAATGGGCTTCCAAAATTGGTGATCACTTTTGCAAGAGTTGCTTTATAAAAATCAGTGATGGGTACATTCATAGTTAATTTAGACTCTGTGCTATCTGAAAAGTGTGGGAAGAAGAAAATAATGGACTTGAGCTGTTTAGCCCAGAAAATAGTGTCCAAGGGGGGATATGAATAATACGGTAAGTGAAATGCATCAGGGACAGGGAAGAAGGGAGGAGTATTTCTGAAAAAGACCCAACTTGTATTTAACCTAAAGGATATAGATTGCTCCTCCCAGGCGGAGAGGGAAACAGAGGGATATCACCGAAGCTGATGTTTTGCAGAGTTGGCTGTGCCCCAGCCCACTTATTGGTGCGCTGAGTTGGGGAGGGCTTTGCTTCCAGCATAGGAGGGTTATCAGGGGATTTGCTGCTGTTGCAAAACTTCTGCATGGATTGGGAGGGAGAGGGAGAGGTTTTCCAGCAGTCAGCAGAGCACGATTTAGCATCTGCAGAGTTGAAAATGACCCTTGCGATTACACTTACTTCAGGGGACCTGGATTTTAGATTTCCCTGTGTGCTGGATAGAGAGGCTCCCCCCCCCGCCGCGGGGGGGGGGGGGGGGGGGGGGCGGGGAGTGAGCGAGCGGCTGCGCGGTGCTTAGTTGCCAGCCGGATTAAACCACAACAATTGCATGTGAACAAGTACTTTAAAACTTCACTTTATACTTATGCACTGAAAGATTTATAAATGCAAGAATAGGCAGGCTCTAGATCAGCAGCAGGGGGTGGTTGGGGGGACTGCTGCTCATCTGGAATTCAGTACTTTTATCAAGGCAAGTGTATGAAAACATCGCTTGTAATAGTAGGAGACTGGATTTGATGACTCTTTCAGTCTCATATCCATGATGATGCTTTTTTTTTTCCCATTCAAAATTTGCATTATTGAGATCCAGTTCAAGCCATGCCACTATTTGGAGTGTAGCTGTTGTATTTGGGGTATTTTGTTACTTGTTTCCCGAGTGGCCTGCTTGACCTCATCATTTATACGAAGATGAACTTCATGAAAGGAGCCAGGTGAAATGAAAGAGAATTAGGTTGGTACAGCTGGTGAGATAGTTAAACAAATAGCTTTTCCATAACGCTCAGCACCACTGTGCTGAGGTGCTACGTAGTTACGGTTGCTGAGCTTTTTTGCAGAACAGCGAGTGCTGAGAGCTTATGCGTTGCCAGCTGAATTCTCCAAGCAATGATTACTTCATTTCTTGGTGTTACTCTGTATTAGTCCCTGTTACAAGCCAGAATGGAGTTTTGACATTTTAGATCTCCTTCGAATGAACCTAAAGATTTCATTATACTTATACCATGATAGTGTTTCGCAGGCCATTACTTTCTACTTGAGAAGGCAATGAATATTTTCAGATCTTAATTCCTCTATTTGCCACACATTTTCTTGCAGGTATTATTTACGTGAAAGATGTAAAAATTAACCAAATATAAAAAAGTCATGGATGCAGCATCTGACCCATGTTTTATCTGATTCTCAGTTCCATATCATAGTGATTCTCCTTCAAAGCAATACCCTTTAATCTTATCTTACATTCTTGCATAAATTGGAAAAGACATTGACTTTGATAACTCTGAGTGCACATCAGCTATGCTGGTTTGGGGATTTTGAATCTTTTTTTAGGAGGTTAAAATGAAAAGTAAATGTTTCTGCATTGGTAGCAAGGGGTTTCTTTCTGTTATGGTGGCAAGAATTAGCTGAACAAAGTTATGTTTGGGCATCCTTTACCCTGCCATCTTTGATTTTTGCAATTGCTCATATGCTACATATGCAAAATACTTCTGCCACTTTTTTAGTTGTTGGGTTTTTTTAATACTGAAGAGAGGTATGGGGGACATGGTCCAGCTATCTTTCCTTGCATAGATAGTCCCCTCATGCTTCTGACTCACGGAAATTATTGAGATTGTCATTAGCATGGCTATTAATGAAGGTACGGGAATGAAGGAGTGTATGTTCTGCTCTAATCTTATGCTTCACACTGAAAACATGAGTACAAAAATTAAAAATGAGGGCTAACGGGCCATTCGTGTGTCTCTGTGAGAAGAAAAGGTGTAATCAGAAGCCATGTTCTTAGGGGACACCGGTATCAGAATTCAGAATAACCTTTTTTCTCTTTTTTACTTACAGTTTCTCCTGAACTGTTCTCTTTAAGTCATATTGCATTGTTGCTATTCAAGCCAACATAGCTGTGAAGAGGCTGTGATAACCTCCCATGTAATAACTTACATTTATTTAATTACATCCAGTAACTATGTCTGGCATCAATGGATATCCAGCCCTGTGTCATACGCTTTCTTCTTTGCAAAAATACAGAAGTGTTGACTTTATATTGTTTGTTTCCAAAACCGACAGGGTGATACAATTGCTTCCTGTGACTCTTCAGGTGTGATGAATCTCTGGGATATTCGGAAGTTGGTCCCCATTTTATCCATAGATGCAGGCCCACATCCTGCCAAACAGGTCGTCTTTGATCGCTCTGGTAGGATTCTTAAATAACTTTTTCTATCTAAAACGTGGTTTCTTTTGAAATCTCTAATCTCTCTGGTTCTGAAGCCAGAGAACATGTGTAAAACAGCATAGATGTGTTAATTTTAAAGAACAGATGCTTGATTGTACCAATGATCAATACATTTGTTCCCTAATGACTAGATCAGCAAATTGGACTAATGGTCCATTTATATAAAATTTAAAATGTGCAATAACAAAAAGTGTAATTAATACAAAAATATTACATAAAATACAGAAATGATCACCGGGGGTAAAAAATTTAGCGAGATTATCTATGTTCTAATGATGTTTATTCTCCGTTACTGTTTGTTCTTTTATTTGGTAATTCTACAGTTGCATTTCATAACCAATCTTACTAAGTCCCCTTATAATTGCCTCAGAATTTCATTGTGTTGACAGGACTGCTTGCTATGCACAAATAATTGAAGTCACCAGTTATTTTTCGTCATCAACCATGTATTACCATGTCAGCAATATTGTGATTGAATGTGCATTTTCATTTGAAGAGGGGCTGTTGTAAAATATTTTTGTTTGTTTTAAAACCAATATTAATCTTCAATTCCAAAGCACGGACAAGCACTCATGTTGCAAAACAGAATTAGATCCTAGCTCAGGAAATTGTTCTTACTCAAAAGTAGTACAATATGATATAATACAATACAATAAGAAATAGTGTCATACATATAGCTATATTGAAAAAGATGTATGCATCTGCATTATATGTTACATGCATAAAGTATAGTGCTTCAATAATATATGAGATAATTAAGGAATCATTTAAACAAAAATAATAGTATGATATTTTGTCATAATGACCCACACACTGTGGAATGCACAATATCAATATATTGAGTCAGTTGGCAGAAAAATTTGCCATCAAATTCTATAGTATTTGTACCATTAAATAAGATATTTTCATTTCCAAGGGGAAAAAAATGCATTGACACTGTCCATTTTTGACAGCTTCCCAAAGACAAATTTAACCACTATTCTATTTATGTGTGTAATTTGGAATAAGAGCTCATTTTTTCTTCAAGAGGATTTGAAGAAGTTTTGCATTTTTGTTTCTGAAGTATAATGTTGGGTCATTTGCAAAGGAATCACATCCCTGAAAAAAGCAGTAGCAATATTTCTAGCCAGATGGGACATTTCCAGTAGAAAGGTTATCAGCTTCAGGTAATCTAAATGGGCAAATTTTTCCATCATTTGAATAAAATCCAAAATTTTCTCTGCAGGAGTAACCACACAACAGAGATATCAAATTGGGGTGGATGATCACAATGAGACATAACACAACAGGATGCAGTAGCACCTAGCTGAAGATAGGAAAGTATCTCGCTAAAAGAGACTATTGCCATTCCTGTTGTTTGAAGAGAGAGAGTGCCTGATGTCACCTAACTGGGGACGGAGGGTGAGGCATACTGGGCACTATCCACACACACGCAGACTGAAAAGGCATTGCCTGTTCTCAACCTTGTAGAGACACCAGCATACTCACATCTGTTTGTTATGGAGCAGTATTTAATTCACTCGATGAGTGGCTGGAAGGAATGCATTTTCTGCACCGCATCTGGCGGGGGAAGATGTGGTACTGTTTAGCAAACCTGGCCTTGCTTGGGTGCAGCTGGTCTGGTTACTGTGTTTGGCAATGCAGCGTGGGACCCAGTCTGAGGTGAATATCTCTGGAACCCTGGGTTTGTGGGTGTTTAACTCATGCTGATGCCATGTTGTCATAGCTCTTTTTTGCTAACACCAGAGTTGCCAAGCTAGTTAAGCCAGAGTTAGCCTAAGTAATCCTAAAATGGCCCTTGATATATTAATGAGAGAGGCTGAATGATGTGCATGTCTGCAACAGGAGAGGGCTAGATAAAATGAACCAGCAGATTCCTGCATTGTTTGTCTAAACAGTAATTATTTTTTAACAATGTATTCATGGATTTGGTCAATCTAAACTATTCAGTCAGTCATTTGAGTGGTGTTAACCAAAAATAATAGCCACATTGAAGTAAGTCAAACTCCAAAACAAAAATAAATGGTGATGGGAGAATATATTCCACGTTTAACTAAAAGCCTGTTGGGCATGAGACATCTGTCTCATTTGAGACCTCTGTGGAGAAGCTTGGGTGGACTTTTCTGACCTTATCAAAGTGTAGCTTAATTTTCAGCTGTATCTCTCAGTCCCTCCTGGTGATGTTATACCTCCTAGTATAAAATACTTGACTGCAGTAATAGCTGTAGACACAGGAGACAAATTGTTCAGCATCTTACAGGTGGATTAAACTGCTAGATTAGAGAGCCATGGTTGAGCAGCTTTTTCTTCTGCCCAGTAATTATTTAAATTATAGCTAATAATGATGGAAGGGGTTTATGAGTAGTTTGGTGGTATCAGCAAACGAGATTGTGGTCAGAGATAGTAAGACCCCAACTCATGGAAGATTTTTATTTGGTTTTCCGTTGTATTGTTTTCAAGTAATTATCATTGCAAATGCAATGTAGACAAAAACATCTTACATTTTGTTTTAAAGTGGTACTATCTTTTATCAGAGTGACATGCACTAGGTGGGAGTTGCTTAAGAAAGAGCTGCTACCAGGAATGAGTTTGTAAGTTATTGGAATTCTCCTGAGGGTGTTAATGCGGATCGTCCTTGCTAAGTCTAGTGATCCAAATGCTATTCATGGCATAAATGCCTGACCACAAAGCCAATTTCTGCTTTATCAGAGCCACACTCAGATCTTAAATACCATTAATAACAGAATTGTTGTGTAAATCTTTCTGCTTTAGCTACACTCAGCCTTAGCTTTTCTTTAACTCAGCTTAGAGGTGGACTTTTCAATATGGCCTCTTGTGAATGAGAAGAAATTAATCACACGATTAATTACCATGGTACTTTATGTGGATTTTCTTTCTGAAACTGACTCATGATCTTGCAATGAGAGGTGGTGATGGAGCTGGCCGGGACTCAGCCCACTGGGGGCAATGATCTTCAATATTATGCTTAATATCAGAAATACAAAGGAATGTGCCCTTTGAATTCTGCATGCTGTAAATGGTCTCAGAGAGGGGACCAAATGGTCTCAGAGAGGGGACCAATTATGTTTACTGTGCAAGATGGATCACAATGTAACTGATATTTTAACTAAATTCACTTTTTTTTTTTCATATGCAAGTTAAGCAGCATTTCCATGTGCTTATGTTTTTGTGTAGCATTCATGAATCCCTTAAACACCCTCCTGTCATCACCTTTTGCATTTCCAGCTGCTGTTCAGAAAATGTATTTAATACGATTAATCACAACACAACATTGTGTATGTAAGAGAGAAGCTGTAGAGGATTCTAGTTTATATGCTAAGACATATTTATTATTATCATATCATATTAAAACAAACAAACCAAGCAAACCCTACAACAACAGCAACAGTCCAAAATCAATAGCAGTTACAATAAGGCAAACAATATCTGGAAAAATACAGTGCTGTATTTTAAGATCTGGAAATACAATGAGGTCTTCTCATTGAACCTGCTCCCATCCAAGCTGGGCAGTGTTGCTACCAGTGTTGAAGAGGTGTGAAGGGTATGTGATTGTGCTGCCAGAGGATGAACAAATAGACTTACAATGCCTCTGAACACCTCAAAGGGCAATATGTGCCTATTTTATTTAGAGGGAGAGTATATTAAAAGAATATAAACGTTGTCAATTAACGTGAAAGTTGAGAAATGCCAGGATCAAGATTACTTTGTGATATAAGTGGTTTATTTTAGGAGATAGGAATTCTGGGTGTGCAGGAGGCACATTGTTTTAGGAAGCGGCTGTCGAAGAAATGGTACCACTTTCGACCACGGTGGGATCAGAGTAACTGCTCAGCTATCTAAAAGCAATAATTTGCAATTAATTTGCTAAATTACACCATCACTTGACATTACACAGGATCATTTACATGAGACAGCCATTAGTCCAGTGGGTGACAGAACTGTTTGCTGCTCAGTCTTGAGTTGGTTTTGGTGTTAAATAGAGGACTAAAGAATTTATGTCTCTCTATTATCCACCCTTTTCTGAATACAGAATTATATTGATGGGATTTTCTGGGATGCCATTGCTGAAGCATGTTCAATATTTGCACTAGACTTTATTTGGGCTATTCCTGATAATATTAAAGCCACAGGTCCGCACAGGCCTCATGAGGGATGGAGGCACAGAAATTAAACCCCAGATTGTTAGAATTTCTTCAGGTATTGAAGCTTCAGGTGAAGTCCCAGAATTGCAGTTTTTTGGGTTCCTTATCTGCTAACAATTTCTATGGTGAGACCAGAGCTGGCAGAAATAATCCTTGTAACTTGAGGAAAAAAGTTGAGAAGCATAAAGTGTATTTCTGCATTTATATGTGCCTAATTGAGTATATATTCTATTTCTTAAAAGAAACATAAATAATACCAATTTATTATATGGCATTCTTGAGGCTTGATCTTGCAGTGAGGTGCCCACTCAATTTTCTCTTTGATTTCCTCAGTTTTGGTTGGTATATTGGCAGAGACAAGCTGGTTTTGAGGTGCCAGGTGTCTGTCTTTTCTCCTTCTTTCCTTCTGTCCTTCACATTTTTGGTTAATTCATACCACTTAAGTGGCATTGAGTAGATAAAGCTTTATCTTGGCAGAGTAGGGGATTTTCCTAGGGTGGAAGAAGCTCTCCTTTGCTGGGAAGCTGTACAGTGGATTTTGCAATTGGCAGCTGAATGCAAGGAATGCACCTACACTTCTCCAACCTCAGGAGGGGACTGTGTCCAAGTATCAAGAGAACCAGAACAGGACAAGATCTTGACTCTTTATCTCACTTTTTTTGCAGTTTCTGAAGCTTGTTTTTTATATTTGTCTCTCTCTTGCTTACAGTTAAAGTCAAGCTTGATGGGAGAAAAATCCTCTAGTGCAGAATTTACCACAGTAATCTTTTTAGCAGCATCTGATTTTGTCCATATAGT